GCCCGGCCTGAAAGAGTCTTTTTTAAAAATATTTTATTATTTTTTTTATTTTATGTGTACAAGTGTATTGTCTGCATGTATGTCATGTCGTGCAATGCTGTGGAGATCAGAAGAGGGCTTCTGATTCCCCTGGAACTGGAGTTAAGGATGATTCATAGCCGCCATGTGGGTGCTGGGAATCGAGCCCGGGTCATCTACAAGAGCAGTCAGCGCTCTTAACCGCTGAGCCATCTCTCCAGCCATTTTTGAAAGAGTCTCGATATGTAGTCCAAGCTGGCCTGGAACTCATTCACTGTGTAACCAAGGTTATCCTCAAACTCATAGCAATTCTCCTGCTTCGGCCTCCTAAGTGTTGGAATTACAGGCATGAGCCATGCCTGGAAACTTTACATGTTATTAGTCTTAAGTATTTAGTTTTACCAACCAGTTCCGTTTTCCGCATGTTTACACTATGAAAAGAAAACAGTGGGTAGGGTTAACGGTAGAGTGCTGGCCTAGTACACACAAGGCCCTGCTTGGATCCCAACACTGGAAAAAAAAAGATCAAAAAATGCCATGGGCCAATAAAGATGGTTCAGCAGGAAAGCATACCTGCCACCAAGCCTAATGACGTAAGTTCAGTCCCCAAGACCTACACAGTGGAAGGAGAATGCAATGTGAGCACTGGGGCATGCATCCCATATACAATAAATAAACATAATTTTAAAAATTATTGTTTTAAAAAAGAATAATTCTAGTAATGGTTGTATGTGGCTACTTTTCTATGATGAGGTCTTGGTGTTTAAAACAGAACATACACCTATACGGTACATAGGTAATCCCAGCACTCAAGGAGGCAGAGACAGGAGGATCAGAAGTTCAAGGTCATCCTTGGCTACGCACCAAGTTTGAGGCCAGCCTGTACTACATGAGATGGGGGAAATGGCAAGATGGCTCAGCTGGTAAAGCAGCTTGCTGCCAAACCTGATGATCTGAGTTTTATCTCTGGGACCTGGTACTAGGAGAGAATGGACTCCCTCAAGTTGTCCTCTGACCTCCACACATGTGCTGTGGCATGTGTACACCTACATACATGCACACATACACAGAGAATAAACTAAAATATTTTAAAGATTAAAAAAAAATCAGTGCTGAAGAGATAGCTCAGTGGTTAAGAGGACTTACTATTCTTCCAAAGGACCCAAGTTCAATTCCCAGCACCTACATCAGGAAGCTTATAATAGCCTATAACTCCAGCTTCAGGGATCTGGTGCCCTCTTCTGGCATCTGCACTCACATGCACATACATACACACAGGTACACATATTTATTTATTTATTTTTGTTTTATGTGTATGAAACATGTTTGCCTGCATGTATGTAAGTGAACCACATGAATGCAATGCCTATAGAGGCCAGAAGAGGGCATCAAATATCCTGGAACTGGAGTTATGGATGGTTGTTAGCCACCATGGGGGTGCTGGGAAGTAAACCCAAGTCCTCTGCAAGAGCAGCCAGTACTCTTAACCACTGAGCCATCTCTCCAGTTCCCAAAACTAATCTTTTCAAAAACCCACAGAGACAGTGATAGTCTGGGATACAGACTTAAGAATTAATTAAGAAAACACAACCTGTATTTGGAGGCCAGAAAAGAACAGAACTCCATGTCAGCCCCACCCTACTGAACTGAGAACCAGAATGGGTGTGCCTTTGAGTCTCAGTTTCCCTATCTGTAAAATGGAGTTCATTCCAACATTTCCAGGTTAAAAAGACTCAAATGTGCTGACAAAGAAAAAAAAATTGTGACTGCCCAGGCCTGACTTGGGGAAATGTTTAAAAAAAGGTCAAAACAAAAGAAATTATGAAACAGCTCAGACCATTCCAGCCCAAGAGCCTAGGAGCTGGTGTGCTGCTTAGAGGAGTGACATTGCCTGGGGGAGCCACTCCTGGGGAGACAGAGGAGCCCAAAATTCCCCCAGAGCTTAGGGTAGATACAGGTAGGACATAGGAGATGCTAGGCAGGTGGCAAACGATGGGTCTGAACCATAGTTACACTGGGAAAGAAAATAATAATAAAACATAATAAAATATTTTAAATTAAAAAAGGAAAAGAAAATCCAGAAACTCCTGCAAAATAGCCTCTTATATTTGCTAGTTGTACGAGATCTTCAATATTATTCAGATGCTTTAAAAAACTGCAATATCATGGGGCATGGTGGGGCACGCCTTTAATCCCAGCACTTGGGAGGCAGAGGCAGGCAGATCTCTGTGAGTTCGAGGCCAACCTGGTCTACATAGTGAGTTCCAGGACAGCTGGGGCTACAGGGAGACCCTGTCTCAAAATGACCCAAAAAAAAAAAAAAAAAAAACAAAAAACAAAAACAAAAACCCCAAACAACAACAACAACAACAAAATGCTGCAATATCATTTCTTTGGCACCTACTATTTATCAAGTTCCTTTCTAAGAGTTTTATACATAAATCATCCTACCCCCTTCAGGCACTATCTTCATCCCTATTTTACAGATAAGGAAATTGAGGCACCAAGAGGTTAAGTGGTGTGCTTAAGGTCACACAGCAAAGGCTGTGCAGTCTAGCTCCAGAGCCCACATTGATAAGCACTAAGATGCCATCTTTAAAAAGTTGCTGTTCTAGGGCTGCAGAGATGGCTCAGTGGTTAAGAGAACTGGCTGCTCTCGCAAAGGACCTGCGTTTGATTCTCAGCACACACAAAGGCTAACAACTGTCCAGAACTCCAGTTCCAGGGTTATTCAACGCCCTCTTCTGACCTCCACAGGCATTGCATGACATGAGTGCACTTACATGCATGCAAGCAACACACTCATACACATAAAATAAAAATAATAAATAACTTTTTAAGTTACTGTTCTATTCCCAGGCTGAGTGGCCCCTCTCAGAGACAGTTGAGGGACCACCACCTCCGTGGAAATTACCAATGTGTCAGTGATGGGGAAGTTAAGCCTCTGAAGAGCAACTTAACCAATGCCACACAGCAGGTAGGGAACTGAGCCTGGACTCCCAGGCCAAGCTCCTTCCAGGATCTACAGTTTCCTGGACAAGAAAAGAGCAGGGAAGGACTCTAAGCCATTCAGGGTCCTACTTATCTCCTCTGCCTACTCCTGCAAGGCCCACTAAGCAACTCAGTTTCCCAGCACAAGGCAGGGGCTGGGCCTGCTGCTTGCTAAGTGCACCATCTGGTATTGTGTCTTGGCTCCCCAGTCCTAATTCACTTGCCTACTTGTTACCCCTCCTGGAGCCCGCAGCCCTTGGTACCTGATGAAGAGGGTGCACAGGATGAAGATGATAAGGCCCACGATGCTTGGGGCATCCCACCACACAGTACTGTAGTCCTCCAGGCCCGCCTGTCCTGTCCCGTTACTGGTAGGCAGGTGAGGGTTGCATTTCTGGTCTGGGGAGGAGGCAAAGTCACTCTCAGCCTGAGCTGACTGGGTCTAGGACTTGGAGAACCCCAAGGATGGGCATGGAGCTGACTCAAGAGGCCAAACAGAGAGAGACACACAAACACACACACACACACACACACACACACACACACACACACTTACACTCACACTCACACTTTAAGGCCCAGCAGCAGACAATGACAGACAAACAGCTCCAGGAGCAGATGAGTTCTTTCTGCTTCCCCTGAAGACCGAGCCTCTGGATGTCTCCATGCCCTGTAAGGTCCCCAGTACCTCAGCAGGCTTCTCTTAGACCAATGCCAAGGCTAGCCTGCCCCACACTCACCAGGGACGTTGGATAGGGCTGACCAGGTGACAAACATGGTATACAGCGTGATGACAGAGGCCTGCAGCAGACCTGAGTTGGGCTGGGCATCCTGATAAGAATGGTTCATAGTTAAGAGGCCAGCCAGATCTGGGGACCACTCAACCTCCTCACCCCTTCCCCAGATCACACCCATCCCTGCCTACCCACAAGTGAAAGCCTAATTCTTTCTCTTCACACCCCCAGATTATAGTCTCTCTCTCCTCTCTCTCTCCCCCCACCAAATGCTCAGGCCAACTTCTCTGGTTTGTTCAACCTCACCTCTCCCTCCCGAACTCCAGACACCCCAGACACTGCAGCCTTTCTGCCAATTTGGAATTCTGCTGGGGTCCTCAAAGGCCCTTGCACCCTGCTATAGCAGCTCCTGCCCTACCAGCCCTCTGTCCTTCATCCCACATCCTCTTTAGTGCTCCACTTAGTTCTACCCAAAGTTGCTTTATTTTCCCTGTCTCCCACAGCCTGTGCCTCCCCACTCCTCACACAGGCACACTGGAAAATATGGATGGCAAACTGTGATTAAAAGCACAGGCTCTTGAGTCAGCCTCCCTTGGTTCAAAGCCAGCTCTACTGTTCACTAGCCTTGGCTAAGTCTCCTCCTTCTCTTCTTCCTCCTCCTCCTCCTCTTTCTCCTCTTCCTCCTTTTTTTCTTCCTCTTCTTTTTGTATGTGTGCGCACATGCGTGTAGAGGTCAGAGGAGAACCTCATTTTTGTATGTGTGTGCACATGCATGTAGAGGTCAGAGGAGAACCTCATTTTTGTATGTGTGTGCACATACATGTAGAGGTCAGAGGAGAACCTCATTTTTGTATGTGTGTGCACATACATGTAGAGGTCAGAGGAGAACCTCATTTTTGTATGTGTGTGCACATACATGTAGAGGTCAGAGGAGAACCTCATTTTTGTATGTGTGTGCACATACATGTAGAGGTCAGAGGAGAACCTCATTTTTGTATGTGTGTGCACATGCATGTAGAGGTCAGAGGAGAACCTCAGCTACTGTTCTTTAGGAACCCTCCACCTTGTTAATATTTTTAAGATTTGTTTTTATTTTTAATTATGTGTATGCATGTGTGCCTGTGTGGGGATATGTGCACATGAGCCCAGAAGCCAGAGAGGGTGCTGAATCTCCTTAAGCTGCAGTTACAGGTAGTTGTGTGCCTGTGTGGGTTGTGGGTGCCAAACTCAGGTCCTCTGCAAGAGCAGTATGTGCTCCTAACCACTAAGTCACCTCTTCAGCCCCATTTGTTTTTTGTTTGTTTTTGTTTTTGAGAGATAAGCTCTCTCAGTGGAATCTGGAGTTCACCTATTTGGCTAGGCTGGTTGGCCAGCAAGCCCCAAGGATCCTTCTGTCCCCACCTCCCCAGCTCTGGGATTATAAGTGCAGACCACTCATCTGATTTTTTTTACTTGAGTGCTGGCAATCAAAGTCGGACCCTCATGCTTATGCAAAGGCACTCTACTGACTGAGGGATGTCCCCAGACCGTCTCTACTCCTTTACACTGACTGCTCCTCTGTGAATTAGGGGTGATGACAGTGTGAGGACCAAGTGACACTGAAATGGATGACAGACGCCATTAACAACTGGCTATTATGTCCTTCCTCCTCCACTCCCTCAGAGCCATATCCCCAATGTGTCAAACAGAGTCTGGTACACAGCAGGTGCATCATCACCCTTTCTGGGCTTCAACTTTCACAGCAGGAAATAGATGCTCTGAACAGAAGTTCCCAGTCTTTGTACTAATGACCCCCAAAGACCACTTAAGCTACCTGTGAAACTAAGAGCCAAACTGGGAAGTCCCCCTGGGTGCATATGGAGTCAGAGATTCTCTATAAGGAATAAAGGGCTGCTCTGTTAGCTCTGCCCACTGTCTCAGAGGGTCTAGGATGGGATGTTGGAGAGCAGCACCTCACCCAGTACCACTCTAAGACTCTTCCTAATGCTCTCTTGACTGGCATGACAGTAACTATAACAGCTCGAGTCTGCTTGGTACCTATTTACCTAATCAGACCCTGACAGCAACTCCACATTGCATGTACATTTGAGGAGAGAGGAGCTCAGAGAGATTAGGGCACTTTCCCAAAGACACCAACCAGGGAGATAAGACAGCTAAGCCACTAAGGTCAATCGACCAGACTTGGGAGCCCATACACAGCTTAAGTCTCTGTGACCTGTCAGTCCCTGTCCTGGGACCCAGCTTCCTATGTGAAGTCCCACCAGCCAAGGGATTGGACCAACATGTAGGTTCACCTGGATCTTGGGCAGGACAGCAACAATGGAGACGCAGACACAGAGAGTGAGGTTGAGGCTGATGAAGACCTTGCCCTCGTAGCAAGCACCAGACTCCGTGTAGTAGATGAACATCAACACCACAGCGGCGATGGACAGCACGTAGAAGAGGAAGGTGAAGAAGAAGAGGCCTGGCAGGAGAGGCAGCGAGGGGCAGACTCAGGGCCAGGAGGCAGGAGGTGGGGACACAGAACCCTCAGGGGACTGTAGTCTCAGTTTCCTTATCCAAGGAGTACCCCCCCACACAGCACCTTTGGGAATCCCTGCCCTGACCCGACCCCTGCTATAAAGAAGTGATCGTTACCATAAATACAATAAGCACAAAACAGGGTTCTACAATTTTTTTTTTTTTTTTGGTCTTTTTGAGACAAGGTCTCCCTGTAGCAGCAGCTGGCCTGGATATTCAATAATGGAGACCAGACTGGCCTCGAACTCACAGAGCTCTGCCTGCCTCTGCCACCCGAGTGCTGAGATTAAACTCATTTTTAGACAACTTTAGCAGTCTCTAGCTTGAATGCATTTTTGTGATCAAGAAAAAGAATAATAAATAAATAATAAAATAAATAATAAATAAATAAATAAATAAATAAATAATAAAATTAAAGGCATCCACCACCACACCCATCTAAAAAATATTTTTAAAGATTTATTTGAGCATGTTTGTATGTATGTGTGTTTGTATATATATGTATATGTGAGTGCAGGTGCACATGGAGACCAGAAGAGGGCGCTGAATCTCCTGGAACTAGAGTTAATAGCCTGTTGTGAGCCACCTGAGGTGGGTGCTTAGAATCAAACTCAGGTCCTCTGGAAGAGCAGCAAGTGCCTTTAACCACTGAGCAAGCCATCTCCCCAGCCTCTATTTATTGTTTGTGTGTACATGAGAGAAGTGTATGTATGAGGTGTGTGAGTGTGGCGTGCATGTGGAGGTCAGAGGACAAGTTGTGAGAGTCAGTTCTCTCCTTCCACCATGTGGGTGGAAATCAAACTGAGGTCCTCAGGCTTGGCATCAGGTACCTTTACCTGCTATCTTGGTAACCTTATTTGTGTTTTGTGAGATGAGATCTCATGTAGATCAGAGTAGCCTTTACCTCCCAATTGCTGAGCTGATAGGTTGCTCCATGACACCTAGCTTTTTATTTATTTCTATTTTTAAAAACTATTATTGTTGGGGCTGGAGAGATGGCTCAGTGGTTAAGAACACTGGTTGTTCTTGCAGAAGACCCGGGTTCAAATCCCAGCACCCACATGGCAGCTAACAATTGTCCATAACTCCAGTCCCAGGGGATCTGACAGCCTCTTCTGACCTCCGCAGGCATTGCACGACACGGGTGCACTGACCTACATGCAGGAAATACACGCATACACATAAATTAAAAATAAATAAATAAATAATTTTTAAATGAAACTATTATTGTGTGTGTGTGTTTGTGTGTGAAGCATGATATGGAGGGGGTAGGGCACATGCCATGACACACATGTGGAGGTCAGAAGACAAACTCTGTGGAGTTAACTCTCTCCTTCCCCCTTTACATGGGTTCTGGGGATCAAACTCAAGTTAGCAAGTGCCTTTACCTGAAGTCACTGTCCTAGTCAGCTTTAACTGTCAACTTGGCACAGCCTATAGTCATCTGAGAAAGAAGTCTCAATTGAGGAAGTGCTCAGATCAGACTGGCCTGTTGGCATGTCTGTGGGAGACCGCCTTGCTGTTAACTGATGTAGGAGGGCTCAGCCCAGGGTTGGCAACACCATTCCTGGGCAAGTGGTCCTGGGCTGTATAAGGAGGCTGGCTCGGCACGAGTCCACGAGCAAGCCAGCAAATCAGGGTTCCTCCATAGCTTCTGCTTCCTTGGCTGTGAGTTCCCTGGTCAGAGGTGATGCTGTGTGGAACAGCATGCAGCTACCTCCAAGCTCCTGTTTGCATCCTGCCTTGACTTTCCTGGACTGTGTGTAACCTTTAAGCTGAAATAAACCCTTTCCTCCCCAAGTTGCTTTGTGTCAAAGTGTTTTATCACAGCAATGGAAAAGAAACTAGAGCACCTGCTCAGCCATCTCACCAGCCCTCTTTTTATTTTTTACATTTTATGTATTATTTTTATGTGTATGAGTATATCGTCTGCATGTATGTAAGTGCACCCATGACATGTACAATCCTCGTGGAGGTTAGAAGAGAGCACCAGATACCCTAGAACCAGAGCAAGGACAGTTGTTAGCTGCCATGTGGGTGCTGGGAATCGAATCCCGGTCCTCTGCAAGAGCAGCCAGTGCTCTTAATGACTGAACCATCTCTCCAGCCCACCTTTTTTTAATTTTTGAGGCAGGGTCTTGTGATGGTTGCATAAGCTGGACTTGAACTCCTGGGCTCAAGAGATTTCCCTGCTTTAGCTTCCCAAGTAGCTGGGACTGGAAGCCTGAGCCCTCAAGCCCAGCTATTGTGAGTACTTTAAATAATATAACCTGGAAAGCTTGCAAAACATAAGACTTAAGAAGTAATAAGACAGAGCTGGAGAGATGGCTCAGCAGTTAAGAGCACTGGCTACTCCTGCAGAGGACTGGGTTCACTTCCCAGCACTCATGTGGCAGCTAACAACTGTCCATAACTCCAGTTCCAGGGGATCCAACACCTTCTTCTAGCTTCTGCAGGCACTGCACGACATGGGTACACTTATACACAGGCACATACATGGGTACACTTAGACACACAGGCAATACACTTGTACACATAAAATAAAATTTTTTTTTAATTTTTTAAAAAAAGAAGTAATGTGGCTGGGCATGGTGGTGCATGCCTTTAATCCCAGCACTTGGGAGGCAGAGGCAGATGGATCTTTGTGAGTTCAAGGCCAGCCTGATCTACATAGTGAGTTCCAGGACAGCTGGGGCTACAGGGAGACCCTGTGTCAAAAAACCAAAAAAAAAACAAAAAACAAAAAAGAAGTAATGTGTATACACCCAAAAAATCAACAAATTTTTAAAAATGAATTATATTTGAGGAGGAAGCATAAAAGTTTACGTCATGTTAATTAGTAGAGGTGATGAACATTACTGTT